GACAGATACGCTGCCTGAACCATCCAACAGAAAAGCAATGTCTACTTGTGTCGGGCACACTATCAAATAAATGAATTGAAATTGATTATTTTAGGTGAATTTTAACATTTTAGCAAATCGACTATGAATACCCACATATTTAGACAATTAGTCTTTTATAAGAAGAAAGAAAAGAAGAAATTAAGATTAAGATATTAAATTAGTTTAAATGAGTCTTAAAACTGCTTACAGAAGCCTAATTTAGTTATTAAGCTAATTTAGTTATTTGTAGCCTTGATTTTTGCATTCAGTTCTAATTACTTGTATTTTCTTCCTGTATTACAGTCATAGAAACAGCATTGTGTTCAAACTTACAACACTAAAAGAAAGACCCTCTGTACTGTATGTTCTTGTTACGGTTGGAATTTGTGTTACTGTGAGCGACAGTAGCCTCATGTTTACGTTGTTCTTATGTAACAGGAATACATCGTGATGTAACACACAGCAACACAAATTATTTTCTCCAGGAAAACCATAATACATTACTTATTTGCATACAGAGCTTTAAAGAAGTCGTAAGTAGCTTTAGAAGAAGTAAACTTCTCGGTCTCCTTTTAATTTTTTCCCCCAAAGGTCTTGTGTGTATGTACTAGTCTTCTTGCATTTTGTCATGCATTGCATAACCCAAACAACCAGGCTTAGTTTCATTTTTGTAATGAATTTGAAATCAAAGGGTGTTTTTGTATTTGTTTTTCAAATAACACTTTCATTTTACATGCAGATATGGTTATTTCATTCTGAATAACCCATATGGAAAAGATATATATAAACCTTATAAAGTTTGTATCTGTCTTGTGTGAAACTTGTATGAAAAGCATATAAGTTTAGAATTAAATACATTTTATGCTGTAGATTTAATCTTGGCTAGCTCAAATTTTACCAGCATTTATTTCAGTGTTGATGGATTCAAGTCAAATTAGTCTAGAAAAGCTCTTTGGATAAAACTATAATACAATGAATCCAAACAGACAATCTGAAATAAGGCTTAGACGGGAAAACTGTAAACAAACAAAAAAATAATCAACAAATCATACAACTTATACTTATATTCATCTATGAGTAATCACATCTCACACAAACATAATTTTCT